AAAAAAAACCTCAGTAAAAGAAAACAAACTCAGGTCTCCTGCTGAAGCCGGACTGGGCAGGAGGGCTCGGGGAATCCTGACTAGGCAGAAAGGACACTTAGGACTAGGCAAGGTCAGGGGTGAGAAAGGAAAGAACAGTGGGGTGACACTGCAGAAAACGTGCAGGAACTAGATAGATATCCACTTGCATTCTCGGGGACTCGGGAACCCCAAAGGAAAGCGGAAAGCTCAGGGTAAACGGAAAAGAACAGTAAAAGGACAGCATGGATTCGCCTGCATTTTATTTCCATCACTGCAGATGCCACTTCCCCTCCTAAGATACATACAATGAAGTCTGTTAAGGTAAAAAGTGGAGAGAGAGAGAGAGAGAGGGAGAGAGAGAGAGAAGAAAGAATATGACCTCGTCTGGGAATGAGTAGTAGTAACTTCGGGACCTCCATTTCCGAGGAAAATGAAGTGAAGCATAAGAACGAAACCAATTAGTTGACATTTGAACTTCCTGCCGGAGCAAATTTGGCCTGATTGCCAGAATCGGAGAAGAGTACTTCAATTTCCACCGCGTGCTGGACTCCTCCCGGCCGTCTGTGATCCCCAAGCAAGCTGCTCTGCCTGCAGCGGCATCTGCAGCCGGCAGACTCAAGCAGGCTCAGGCCTCCCGGGCTGAGCCCCAAGTCCGGCCCGGCCGCTCTCTCCAAGTGAGCAAGCCGGGCTGAGGCCGCCTAGGCTCGAGAGGCGGGGGAGGGTGGAAAATGCGAACCATGTGTTGGGGATGGGGGGATGTTATGGGTCTGGTAGTTTGAGATGAGGCAGGAGACTGTGTGTGGCAAGGAAACCAGGGGCATGCGTTTCAAGTTAATGAGATCAGGACACCCCCTAAGAAGACTCCTTACGTTTCCAAAGCAAAAAGGCTCAGGTGATGGGAAAGGCACGGTCCCGGAGGCCGCAGATAGTGAGACCTCCGCGAGAGTGCGGAGGCAGATGCTGCACATCCACACGCCCTGTCTCTGAGCCCCTACCTTGGTCGGTGATGGAGCGGATGCCCAGGATGTCAGTGACTGAGTGCGAGGAGGGCCAGGTGCGCGGCATGGCCACCGAACCGGGAATGGCAGGCACCCCAGGTGGTGTGGGCACCTTGGCGGCCGCTGCCGTGATAGGGCTGGGGTATGAGTAGATGTGGTTGTAGGGCAGCGCTGGCTGCGGTGCCGGCTGGTGCTGCTTGTATGAGTCGTAATGACCCTGCTGGGCCAAGTTGCCGATCTTGTTGCGCAGAATGCGGCTGATGGAGCTCACGGAGGGCACGTTGTACTTGTCGCACACGCCGTCCGCCAGCAAGCGGTCCCGGATCTCCCAGGCGAAGATGCCAGGGTCCCTCTGCTTGTAGGTCCGGATGTGTTTCACCACGGTGGGGGTAGTGACCCGGGGCTTGCTGCCCCCGATGGCTCCTGGCAAGATCGAGCCTGTCTCGTTGTAGCGCGCCAGGATCTTGCTGACACAGCCGTGCGAGACCCGTAGCTGGCGGCTGATGTCACACGGTCGGATGCCCAGTTGGGCCAGTTCCACGATGCGAAGCCGGATGGCGTTGGGCAGCGGCCTCCCGTTCACAAACACTCCTCCCAGCTGGTTCACCTCCCCGAAAGCTGGCTCTAAAAAACGAACACACAGCGCGCGGGGACGCGCACCCGCTGCTTGGGACAGCCGCCTGCCGCTGGGCCTCCCTACGCGTCTGGGGACTGGGCGAAAGCACCCGTCCTGTACTAACGACAGGGGCTGTCCCCAAGCCAAACGGTTCCTGAACAAAGCCGAACGGCCCCAACCGTCACGGTCCAATCGGACCCCCTCCCTCATTCCTGCGGTGCCAGAGGCCCCTACAGCCAAGTAAAGTGGTGAGACGCAGGGCCTCTCCGAGCGTTCAAAAGTCTCCCGAAGCAGGACGGGAAATCGGTCTTGATGCCTAAACGCGCTGCTTCTCGCCTGCTCCTCACTAAAGTTCTTGGGCCACTCCCTCTTTACTCATCCCATCCCCAGCGTTCCTCCTGGAGACCCGGGCAGTTAAACAAAGTCTAGGAGAAGCTAGAAGTGCTTTTTTTCCTCCTGTTTTGTTTGCGTGTATGCGCGCGTGTGAAGCAAAACTTGGTTGCTACTGGGGCTGCGGGGCTTGCTGATGCCATAGTTCCCTTCTCTTAAAATCAGAAAATGGCATCAATAGCCAGCCAGTAGCCAGCGTTCACATTGAACTGCTGTGCGCTGCTGACCCTTAGCGTGTTCCTACAACTTGTAGGAACACGAGCAAAGTCAATAGAGAATGTGAGCGCTTAGTGGCGCGCGCCCTCGCGCTCCCTCCCTCCCTCCCTCTCCCGCTCGCTCCCTCCCTCCCTTCGCGGCTCCGACAGTCTTCCACTGCCACTCACCCATTGCTCCGAGCAGTACACCAACCCGGCCCCAGTTCCGCACAACCAGACAGAAACTTTCCGCACGGCCTCAATGGCCCGGCCTGTTGCTACCCCGGGCCGCCGGCGCCTCCGCTTCTTCCCAGGAGGAGGAGGCGAGAGTGCAAAAGGAAGAAGTAAAAGGAAGTCTGTGCCCCGGTGAAAGAGGCTTGAGGTCTGCATTTCAATCTAAGCAGCAACGTGGGCTGGGCTGAGCAGGGCCGGGCGGCTCCGTCTATCACTCACTGGGGACACGCCCTCAAAGAGGCGGGCCCGAGGGCAAGCTGCGTGGTGATTGGTGCGAGCCGGTGAGCGACAGGGCAGTCCAGGAAACTCCTTCCGCTGTCTCTTTCAGGCTGGCTCCCACCTGGGTGACTAAATACAACGAAAATGGGTGTTTGACATCTTCCCAGAAGCGACACAAAAGACAGCAAAATCAGGCTGGTAAAATGCTGAATAAACAAGTGAAAGAGTCTAGTCTGAGTATGAATGATTCGAAGGGAGACAGGAGCCAAGGAGACCTCCTCGGGGGAACGATGGACGTCTCAGAATTGAAGTTAAGACCCTAAGTGGGAGGCTGGCGCCACGGTGCACGGGGGGTGGGGGAATTGTCTTAGCAAAATCTGTCGAGAGGGCCACCGGAGAGAATCTGTGTCACCTGCCGATTCTACCTAACTTCAATCCATGCCAGGTGACGAGAGCGCAGGTGTGAGAAGGTAGGCCCGCCAGAGAAACCAGGAGGTTACGGGGATCCCAAGCCACAGGTGGGGGCCACTGTTAAGGCCAGGGAGGCTCCTCCTACCGCCAGCTTCCCTCGGCAGCCCCCAATCCCCTAGGTGGACCAGCCAACCACTAGCCACGCAGGCTCGAAGCGATGCCACGCCGTGTGCCGGGAACTGAACCACAGGAGGCTAACGCGAGCGCACTGCCCCAAGTCCACTGATTGCCAGTGCCTGCGGCACTCACTACGGAGCCCAAGGCTCTGCCACATTCAGCCACTGTCCTGGGCCGCTGGGCCTCGGTGCCAGGGTTTGCGAGGGCTCTCCAAACCGGTTTCTAAAGAGTTTTGTTTATATATAGAAGAGATTTAGTCTCAAGAAAGTGGACACCGACGCCGCACATGGATGTGATTCCCTCGTCTTCTATTAAGCTCCCAGAGGCCCTTTGGTTCTGCCTACTTCTGAATTTTCACTTTTGTTCACGCTAAGTCTAATCTAAAGTTTGCCGTATGCTTGTTGGCAGCCAAAATTATTAATATTTGCAGTTAGGGTTGTGGAGCATGTGAATAAAAATAATAAACAAGAAGAAAAATATTTTCGTGAATTTGGGAGTTTTTACTGCTTGGGGTCGTGAACTCTGCTACTGCTACTTGACAATCCACAAGGCTCTTTGTCCACACAGGATTCAGGCTGCTTCCCCAACAGTCCCCAGGGATGTGTGTGGCTCTGTTACACCCAGGGAAGCTGGCCCCAGATCTTGGGCCAATAAGTTACAATAGCCCAGGAAAAACCGTGATCAGCCATGCTTCTGCAAAGGAACAGATCTCCAGATTCCCACTTGTATGGTGCAATTTAGATGGCACTCTAAATTCAGTTACCTAACACAACGAAGGATGTGAAAGATACAGATGAACTAAAACATCATTCTTTACAATCATAATCTTGAAAAAAGTCCCACAACTAGACATACTTGAGCTTGTCCCTTTTTGTTGGTTGGTTTCAAATGTTTAAAATCTTCTTGAAGTTTGATTTAATAGCGATTTCTCCCTAGTCTGACCCCAATATCTGTTGGGTGACACTGTGTAGCACCGCCTGGCATTTTTACGTAAGTAGAGCCTTCGGAAATCTAAAGATTTTAGAAGTAGAAGCTCCTTTTTAAGGCTGTTAGATACATTAATTGAGTTTATGACTTTGCCTTAGGCTTCAGGAGGGAATGAACATGCCCGGCAACTTGATCTGGAATCCTCCTTCCCCCTCACAGACAAGCAGTGAGTATCGTCCACTGCGCGGAATCTGCTCTACTTCCGTGCACCCAGGGAGAATTCGCAGTCTGCAGGGCTGCTAGGAGAGTACAAGGATATTTGTCTACCAATAGGCAAAACTTAATGCCCCGCGGAGGGTCTGGGGACTCTTCGAAAGCTTTAGCAGTTCTACAGCACCAGCCTAGAGTGGTTCCGAAACTGTTACTGTTTAGAGCTCTGGCTATTTGGAGGTAACATACAACCCCCTCTTGTTCCCACCAACTCCTTCAGCTGCCACACATCTCCCCAGTTCTCACCCAGGTTCAATGCCATCTCTCCCTTTCCACCTGCTGGACTTGGCTGTGATCTGTGGCCTTAGATGCTGCGGACCTCCTGGGCGCCTCAGGGGTAGCAGCTCACTAGGCAGGGGGCCTGTTCCGCGGCGCCGGCCGCTCCCCGCAGGCCTCACTCATACCGGCAGTTGCAGGTACTGGGTGCTCTTAGCATTCTCAAGAGCGCAGAAAGAACCCATTTTAGGTGCTTTGGACCACTAAGTAAACGCGGCAAGCAGAGGCCCCCGCTCTGGGAGCAAGAGAAGAAAAAGCTGCAGGGGCAGACACTGTCAGTGAGACCCCAGCAGTAAAGGGTGACGCTGAAGCTTTCCCAGGCTCGTACAGAGTGCTGGGGAGAGATAGTCAGCGAACCACTGAGCCCCACCGAGAGACGATGGATCTGAGGGAGAGAAAGGGATGGAGGAAGGAAGAGAAAGAACATTCAGTTATGGTCAGTCCCAATGGGCGTAGGGACGCAGGACTTAGAGAAAAAACAAGGGTCAGCTGAAGTCAGTGCCTCCTGGTTATTGCCCACTCTGGACCCAGGAGATCACAAAGAGATTGGAAGAATTTCATCTAAAAGGAGAAATTTAAGACCAAAACCGAAACACAACCAGTAAGGCCTGCAGCTGGCTTAGGCCGGGGAGAAGCCAAAAAGCCTTTCCCTAGTCGCGTCGAGGCCTCCTCCGAGGGGCGACCCGCTCTCTGGGTAAATATTTACTCAGTGGGAGACTGTAAGCCAGCCGGGCCTAGAGTGTGAAAGAGGGGGCGCTACACGGGGTTGGAGGGATCCGTACACTCGGTGCTGGCGGGATCCTAGTGTACACCCGCCGGAGGGGAGCAGGAGCCGGGGACTCCGGGGGCGGCTCGGCCCAGGCGTGCGGCTGGGGAAGTTTTAACCCCCACCACGGGCTCGGCTGTACTCCGCCCTGCCCTCGCGGACCCCAGCCAGACGCTGTGAAGTCTCCATAAATCTGTCAGCCCTCCCAGTGCCGCGGGCAGTCACCTGCTGCGCCCCCTTCCCGGCACTAGAGCGGCCGGCGGAGAGACGCGGAGAAGCAACAGGAATCTAGCCTGGTAGACTGTACCCGAGGGCTGCAGAGGTCAGACCCAAGCACTGCAGGGTGTGCGGAACGCGAGGACCCCTCCCTGTATCCCCAACCTAGACCGACGCCGGCTAAGCTGCTCCGCGATAAGGCTGCTCCTCCGGGTCTACAGGTCAGTGATGACTGCGGATGGGAGGACAGGGCGAGAGTGGGGGTTGTGTGTGACCGGGAGAGAGGTTGTTCTTTTCCAAGTTGCGGTAATGACTAGCGGAGCTAGCAGAAAATATTAAGGAGCTGATTCCTCCAACTTGCCCTCTGCTAGGGACAGGACCCCCGAGCGAGGCCCAGGCGATGGTGCCCGCCTCTTTTCCACTCGGAGGAGTTGCGGGGATTGCAAGACAGCCAGAGTCCGAGTCCGGGACTGGGATTTTCACAGTGCATTGACTTCTAACTGTCTGGGGAACATGCAGTAAAGTCAAGACCTTTCAGGGTAAGTTTGGGCATTGAGCGCGGCGCAGAGAGAAAAACAGGCCCAGCTTCTCCAGAACTCGGCCCGCTGCTATGTCCCGGTCTTGCAGGGTCAGCGGCCAACTGAGTTTCCCAGAAACTGCAACTGCAAGTGACAACCGGAAGAGTGCCCGGTGCCCAGGGCGAGGGTGGGTCCTCCCTGGACCGCTGGCCCTGCAGGATCTGCGCTGCGGAAGGGGGCGGCGGCTAAAAGGTGCAGTAGCGGGGGATTGGGGATGGAGACAGCCCTCAGTGGTCCTCTGCCCCAGCCAGACCCGGGGTGGGAGAGAAGGACAGGTGGCACCCGCGCACTGACCTGCCGGCCTGGACTTGGAGGGACTGCGGACGCGCCAGCCCAAGGAGAAGTCGCAAGCGCTCCTAGAGGAGCAGAGCGCGGCCGGAAGATGCTCGGAGAATAGCCCCGCGGCCTCTCCACCTTCTCACCAAGGAGCCTCACGGCTCAAGAGCTTCTCCCGGCTCCACGAGGTAGCTAGAATGGCAGTGGGTTGGTTTGGGCCAGAGCTCGGAAACGAGTCTCCGCGTTCTGCGGGTCCGACAGCTTCCGGGGCCGAAGTGCTGCGGGCGGTGGGATCGGCCCCACGGGCTGCGAACGCTCGTCGCCGGCTTTCTCCTTACGAGGACAGGGGAGGGGCCTGTTGCTGCCTGAAACCCGCTTTTAATTCTCCGCCTGCCTGTTTCCGATCACCCGGGGTTGGTTTTTCTGTTTGCTCACTCCTTCTATTACAATAAAAACAATCGACATTTCTTTTCAGTTTCCCCATATTAGCGTCACTCAGTAATTGTTCCCCACCCCCCCTTACCCCCCGCGTTGAAGGCGAGTGGGATTGCTGGTATTCTCGAATTTGGAAGTTTTCCGAGCATATAAGCAAATCTTTCCTAAAGACTTTAAAGTGAAAATAAATAACGGCCCGGGAAATTGCTGTGACCCTAACGTTACTTTCTGAACGCAAATTACACCCATTTTTCAGTTTTCAACGCGGAATTGCTTTCAGAAGGATGGTGTGGAGCTCCATGTGATACGGTTACGTTTGTTTATTAAATCCGCAAATGAAAGAGAACACATTTTTATGCAGGGGGCAAAACTCTGGGCTGCGGGATTGCAACAGCGAACAAGGATCCAAAAGAGGGCAGCGGCCCAGGGGCAGGGAGGGTCCCTGAGGGAGGCTGGGCTGACCTTCTAGTCAGAGGGAGGAGGATTTCCTCTTGCCAGGGTTGCAGCATTAGCAGAAGTTGCGCAGTTGGTGAGGAGGACTCAGTCCATGGTCACTCTACAGCCATGAGCTGCAGCGCTCAGGAGAGGTGCAGCTCTCTCTGCCTATGGGAAAAGCAAGATTGCCTGTTCTTCAACACAGCTGTTTGAGACCCTGCCCTCAGGTGTTGGCGTGAGGGCTTTGGGGCTGCCTCCTTCCAAAGACACTATTGGCCTAAATGCCGTCTGGAAAAGATAAATGAGAACCAGGCCTCGCCTCTAAACCCTGGTTTCAGGACTCATATGAAGCCCTTTAGGGGCTGTGATCTGAGTTATGTTGAATGTAGCTTTATTGCAAGGTCCAGGTTGCCTGCAGGCTGCGAGGCCCAGACCACTGTCCTCTGATCAGAGCTGGGCCTCGGCCCTCTAGGCCCCAAGCTTCCGCTGGGCTCGAACTGCTGATAGAGCGATCAACCCTCTCTAGACCCGATTTCTTGCTTCCGAGGAGTCTGACTGTAACCGCAGGCCAGAGTCACCTTGACGACGGGCAGGAACGTTGTCCCATTTTCTGTGACTGGGGGCTCACTCACTGCGCGTCTCCTCTAGGTGGCACGTTGCCCTCGCGAGTTGCCCCAGCCCTGTGCCGTCTGGGGAGTCCTCGCACCTGAGCAGTGGTTGGGGCCATAGAGGGTTGGTGCGCTGCAAAGTCGAGGCGCTGTGTTTTCAGCCTGTCGCCTTCCCCGAGCTCACCCCGCCACCCACCAGCCCCACGCTGACTCCGAGAGCGGAGACTGGTGCTGCACGGTCCTCGCTAATCCCCCGAAAACAAGAAGCGGAGGCTGGGAGCAGAGGGTTAGCGCCCGAGTCTCGGAAAATTTCCCGCAGTCTTCGAGTCCCCCGCAGCCTCTCCCGGCCACCGCACCTTGTCACAGCGCCACCTATAGGAGCCAGATTAGATCGCTCTCCCACTAGAGTTTTTGACAAGGTTGGGAACTGCCTTTGAAAACCCATAGAACTTCAAAGCCCGACATTTTTGGTTTCCCCTTTCAGCTCCTTCTGCACCCTCAACTGTCCACTGACTCCAAAGCCCCGCATCATTCTTCACCATGCCCCAAAAGAAACCCGAACATGTCTTTTCACGATTCAGCGAAAACCCATCTTCCATGCCCTACCGGGCTGGATTCTCTTGCGGCCCCCAGGAGCTACTCAAGGGCACTGGTTGTGAGCTATCCTTGCGCCAGGGCGGGAAAGCTGCAGACAGCAAAGAAGCTCTGCAGGGGAGGCCGTGGGGAGTGATGGACCCATTCTACTCCAGTTCATCCTACCATTTGCTGAGGGCTCACCTCAAACACAGAGGTATTATCTAGTTCTCATTTTGCAAGAGACATTAAATAAGAGCACAAAAGACACTTGGATTAAATGAAATCATAATGTTAACGGGGGAAATCTGAACTCCACCATGTCGCCGTTGTTGTTCTCTCCATTTCCTTAATCTGCAGGAGCAGCTCACGCTGGATACCCAAAAGAAGCCTCCATACCGCAGGTATCTACACTGAAAGTGGACACGTCTCTGCCCACCTCCACACTTTAGAAGACAGAACGCCGCCCAAGGTCACACCCAGGACCTGCAACAAAGAGGATCTGCAACATTGTCCTCCTCACCACTAGCCAAGAATTCACGCCACGGAGTTCGCAGCGGACTGGGTGAGGGCAGGAGACTGAGACCAGGCTCTAGCTGCCTGCAAGTCTCCTCCTGGCCCAGGTTATCCAGGGCGTTGAGGTGAGGTTTGCAGCCACTGAGGCGGTGCACAGCAACCCCCAGGAGCCCCGAGGCCGAGCAGCGCACAGAGGAGCAAGGAGAGGACCGGGAACAACCCTGCTCGTGGCTGCAATTTGTTTTCCAAGTGCCAGGACATGCCCATGACTCCCAGTGCGCTCTCAGAACATCAACTCAGGCGCGGAAAAAAATCTACCTTTGCCTTCCTGGGGATTCATTCTGGGGTATGCCTGAGTGTGTTTCTTTTTAAGACCACTGTAGTGGGAACAAACCAGGAGGTGCGGAGTTGCAGTAAAATTAGAACCCATAATTAATACAGCTAGCTGGGCCCAAGTGGCTCAGAAGTGCACGTGGTGGATTCAGTTGGCCTTCCTCCGCGGAGTCCGCGCTACAGTTGCGTTTTCTTTCTTTGGGGTGCATCTTGGAGTTCGGATCAACTCATTTCATTCCCTGCAAACAGCGAATAAGTAAATTATTTCACTTATTTAAAAAAAAAAAAACTATAATGATAAAGAGAATTCAGCGCACCCTGGGAGAGATAGTAGCCAGGAGAAGAGAAAGCTGGAAGGTTGTTAGGGGCAGGGGTCACTTTGACTGCCTTGAAAAAATGCTCTTTAGCTGCAGCCTGCGCGGAATTCGTTCCGCGGGGATTGGGGGTACGCCTCTAAGTCGGGCCGGAGGGCCAAAACTGTGAAATCCCAAGCTAGCGTTTTCAGGTTTCGAACAAAAACTGCGATCCAGACCAGGACCTCACTGTTTGCATCTTGGCGAGGATCACCGAATATCTGCAAGCCAGCAGGAACCTTGCCGGTAAGACGGGGTATTCCTGCAAGCTCCTACACAGGGGTTCTAGCTCAGGTCTTCTTCCTGGCTGGGATTGGCCCTCCCGGGAACTGGTCAGGCTCTAATAGGTCCCTCTACCTAGAGGCTGTTTGCTCCAAGAGGCGGATTTGCGGGGTTCGGGTGCACCCTTTCCTCTTCCCTCTGCCAGTCAGTGCACCTCCTGCCTGACTAAAAATTCTACCCTCACCAGGACCAACGAAAGAGCTGACTTCTCATATCCTCCACAGCGGCTGCGGCTTTCTAGACAAGCTGCGTGTCTGAGCCAGTGGGGGAACGGAATATAACCACCACTCCATGGACACGATTGGAAGGCATTTCTGGAAAATTGTGCAAGGACCCAACGATGTTGTTTTCAGTGGACACACGGAGACTACGGGAGATAAATGTAAAAATGAAATAAACGTAATTTCAAAAGTGTAAGTCTTTAATAAGCCAAGAGGGATAAAACAGTATACCATCCTTGCAGAGTAAACGAATTTTGCCAGTAGGTACAAACTGTTGTTTTTTTCTAACGAGAGAGAGGGGGAAAAATGCCACNACTAGGCTTTCCCACTGGGGATGTTGCAGATAGAATTCCAGCATTGAATCAGGCTCTACAAGAAGACAACAAAATTGGCTTTTAACTCCCTGAGTATATGATTCACATTTTTCATCAATAAAACATTTTAAAATTAATACGAATTAGCCCAGATTTTTTGGGGGTGGGTGGGGAATTAAGCAAGTGTTGCTGGTTTTGTTCAGTAAATGCATTGTGTTTTGCACAGATGTTGTAAAATGTTGTTTATGCAACACATTTTATGTTTATGTTGTTATGCCTACACATTTTTAAATTTTAAAGATGTTAAAGTTCGTAATGTCATGACACAATCCATTTTGGTAGTGCATTTAATAAAAATCATATTCTTGGCCGGACGTTTAATAAAAATCAGACTAGTTAGCAAGGAAGGGCATAGTAGCCAAAAAGGAAAAGAAATCTCTTGAGTAGAGAATTTAGGAAAATAAAGAAGGGATTTTAGACAATACTAATCCTTCATGTTTTATTCCAGTTCCTACAGCACTGTTTACTGTAGTTTTTATGCATTAAAGTGCTACATTTTGGGTTCTGTTTCTATGCCATATCCAGACTGTAAATTTAATGGCTGCAGGGGGAGAGGGAGGATTGCCAAAACCAGAGATTAGCACCAGAAATGCTGGACCAGTGTCCTATGTATGATGCAGCAACACCACTGAGGCTACCATTCTTGACAGGCTCCTAGGGTGGATATAGAGGACTGGGGAAGAAGGCTAGTTCTATTTCCTGCAGGATCAAAATGCCAGCCCAATATATTGGCTGACTGGTAAGCCACTTCTTAGAAGGATAGAAAGCCAAGGTCGTGGCCACAGGGGACCTTTAAAAAAGCCCCATAGCACCTTCCTGCAGGACCAGTGGCGTGAACCTGATGTTCTGGTGAGCTGACAACACAGATTCCCTTAGCAGTTTTTATTGCCTGAGTGATTCACATTCAATTCCTTTGGGATTGAGTTCTGCCCCGCCACATGGCTCCATTCTTGAAGACACCCCTTCCACTAGGGAAAGAAATAATGATCCCATTACTTCATGTAAAAAACCTTCATAGTGCCAATTTAAGGCTAAACATTAAATCCCTGAAAGTCAGAAAACAGAAAAGTCAAAATTCTTTTAGTCTGGTCAAATCACCTTGCTTCCAGGACTGTATAATGCATGGTACATTTACAAGCCTCCCCAGCAAGGCCATTCTAGTAACAAGGCGCTGCTGCTGCTGGGTTTAAAAGGGAAACAACGGAGCACCACTTGACTGAGCAGATTTTCCATTTGCAATTTGAATGTTTCATGCCAGTAGATTTCAGCACTTACTTGCTAGATGAAAGTACTACACTGTATGCATTGGCACATGGATTTAAAACTTAAAGAAAGCAAATTAACTTATAGGTAACCAAAAGCAATTCAAAACAAGAGAGAGACACTCTGTAAATGTTTTACATACCTGGAGGATTTTCCAGGTATGCAAAACTCTCTAAATCCAGTTTTATCATTCTAGATCACTGCTATACATTTCTCCAACTCTGACACAAAATGAAGTTCTCTAACAGTAATTGATAAAAGTAAGTATGTTTTCTTCAACCATCTCCCAGTTTTTATTTTAGAACTAAACATTTATCCATCCAGTTTTCCCAAGAGGAAAAAATATTGTAGAAAGTTGTGTTATTTAAATTCTGTTCTGGAAATTCAGACATGGCTAATTTGTGGATTATAACTTCCAGAAAAAGTCTCCCCTACATCTTCTTTCAACTTAAAAGTAGCCAAAAGTATGAGTTTTCTTTTAGAACCAGACTTACCTATAATATTTTAGCTGTGAACAAAATTACTTAAGACTTTCTGTTTCTTTTATGCCAAAGGGGATTCTTTTTTAAAAGGCAAACAGAAAACAGAGGGTTAACCTGGTAGAGTTGCGTGTAAGTTGAGCCATGGCTTCTGGCCACAACTGCATATGATCTGTGTGTTTCATCATGGAACTGCTAAGGCACATGAGGGTTTGGGGGGATAAAGGTATTAGGTACATAGGAGACATCATTATTCCTATTAGAGCAATTAGTCTCATGGAGAAAAATATACCCTTAGGGTAAAATATACATTGAATTCTGTAAAAGAAATGAATAACATACACTTGGATATCACTACATAAAAGCTGCACTTTTTTCCTCTTACAGGAAAAATTTTTGTGTCAATAAAAATGATGAAGGCAAAGCTAGGCAGTCTGGACGTGCCACTAGAACTCAAGGCACAATTTGGGGTTTCACAACTCTATCACCCAGCTGTTAAAAAAAAAATCTCAAGCATATATTTTTAAGCCCTCCTGAAGACATGCTTCTCATTATACAGCTAAGTCTCAGTTAACCAGATAACTCAAGAAAGTATTTTAAGGAGGACATGGTGTCTCATGAACATTTTCTAATATCTTTGAACAAAACAGAATATAAGAAAAGATCGTGTGTGCATGATGTGCTGTCCCTCACAATTTTTGACATGAAAAACACTTTAGAAATCAACTTAGGTCATTTCCATGCCTTCCCCAGAATATAGCATAAGGGGGATGCTTCCGAAAGGTCAATCCAAATGGATGCTTATTTGATAACCACAACTTTCTGGTAAATATAATACTTAGGTAGAGCAGAATGGGGGAATCATTATATACTAATGTGACAATAGAGAAAATCAAGATAGAGAGTCTGAATAGCTGGTTCTTGGGTGAAGAACAGTATTTTGAGAAGGAGGATGAAAGGGGAAGAGGGAATTATTTTTGTCATAGATTAAAGAGAAAACACTTTTTTCCTTTATCTTACTCCTCTCCCACCACTTCAGGCATCTAGGGAAATCCAAATGAATGCTGGGATTAATAGCAGATGGATATAAACATTGTAAATTAAATTCACCCCTATTTTTGCTACAATGTATTACCAACAAGTTTGAGTATATATGTGTGTCACAATAAATTTAATCAACTAATTTATAAGAAAAATTTGTCAACTTACCTCTGATGGTAACTCACCAGTATGAGACTTTCAGAAACATTACAAGTTCAAAGGACTGAATTTAGACTGCTTATTTGCTTCTGAAGTCTGATAAAGATGTGTGTTTAGCCTATGGGCTGCATTGTAGGTCTATAGGCCCTTTCTTCCCTGTTCTTCCTGGAAGTCAGTACTGACTTGGGGAAACACAAAATCTTTATTTTGATTCATGTTACCACTTGCGTCTAAGAACCTGGCATTATGAAATGGCAACGTAAATTACTGCAACCTGTACCCACCAACTACCGGAAGTTATGAACACTAGGAGAGTTTGCTTTTTATCTTCCCTTAGCTCCAACCCTATTCCTTTCTCTGAGATCCTTCCTTCCTTCCTTCCCTTCTTCCTTCCTTCCCTTCTTCCTTCCTTCCCTTCTTCCTTCCTTCCCTTCTTTCTTTCTCTTTCTTTTCTCTCTTTCTTTCTTTCTTTCTTTCTTTCTTTCTTTCTTTCTTTCTCTCTCTCTCTCTCTTTCTTTCTTTCTTTCTTTCTTTTTCTTTCTTTTCTTTCTTTCCTTCCCTTCCTCCCTCCCTTCCTTCCTTCCTTTCTTTTCTTTCTCTCTCTCTCTCACACACACTCCACACCCATACACTCCTCATAACAAAGCAGCATTTTACATAAGATTTGGGTTTTTAAATGTTATTTTCTAGTGGAAATTCCATGAAATATTTGAAGTCACACCAGAAAACTAAGCATAACATTACCAAGATGAGTTTCAGTGAGATTATAAAGCAGTTTGCTTTCTTCATTTAGATTCCTAAATCCATCATAAATACATATATGCCTGGATCTATCTTGGAGTTTATATTTTAAACAATCCGTGAAAAGTATATCCAGACTTTTACATGTTTAAGAGAAATTAGCATGCAGCTAACACAAAGTCAACCTTTGCCATCTGTACTTGCTCATAAATCCCCCAAAGCAGGTAGATTGACCTTATCTATACAGCATTAAGGAAACACGAGCTTCCGCCAACTCAAAGTGCAGTTTGGGGAGTTCAGAAACCACTCAAAGTTATCAGTGTTCTGTGGCTGTTCTCCAATCCATGGTTTAAGTCCACTCATACAGTTGCACCAGAAATGATGATTTTGACAGACTTCAGTTTATCTCCTGGGGCTTTCTTGGAACATCAGTTTGGGTTATTTTCTGTAGTATAGTTTTACATGCCAATCTCAGGGCAGCTAGCTGCCTTTCTTTAAGCTCATGACTAAGGGTGGTGAGAGGTATTGATTAGTCATCTAACCTCTTAATAGCCATAAATACCAATTAAATATTTTGAATAACTCATTCTTCAGGTCACATGAAAACATGTGGCCATTTGCTTCCTAGATTTCTAATGCATAGCTCAGAGAGCAAATACTCTTTAATAATTTTTTTCTTTAATAATTATTGAAGATATCTTACAGATTCTCCGAAGAGGAACAACTCTCTATCCAAATTTGAACCCAGGTTATGTGCTAAAAATGGACAGCTGGAACTAAAACATAGCCGTTATTATCTTTTCTACAATAACATTCACACATTATTATCCTTTCTGCAATAACAGAACATTAAAGAATAAAATGTGGATTTTACTGCTTTATTTGCAGGGATGAAGGTCAGGGTGTCAAATTGCAGATTTTGGGTCCTCAGTAACGGGCCGTTGTGTTTAACCTCCTCAACTTCTTTTCTCCACTTATAAGAAGGAACAAAATAAAATGTTTTGTGGAAGTTTATATTGAAATGAGGTCAGGTAAACTAATGACTGCTTGGTATTTTATGACAAGTTTTATAACCTTGGAGTTGCCATAACTTTCAAACGATCATCAATAAAGTTTTATTGCAAAAGGGTCGGCTTGTGTCTGAATGCTTTTGCACATAGTAAAGCTATGCTGCCCCATTGGCTTAGCTCACCAGTCCCTTTCACCCCAGCCATAAAGTCCTCTTCCTTTTTATTGGAGGTTGAAAAGTCCTCGGGTCTGCTCTCCTCCATCAGGTTAGCAATGTGGGAAGCGTACACAACCAAATCTTCAAAAATATGTAATAGGACTGCTTTTTAATAAAATAATTATACAATTGAATTTTAAATACGTTCCATTTAATAAAATAAATGACAGTGGGCGGCGGGGTGGAGGGAGGTCAGACAATAGTTTCCTCCAGAAACACGTGTTTGAATACTAGATAACGCCTATCAGTATACCCGATATACCCAGAGGGCTGCCATTAAATAATTAGGTGGTTAGGGGCCAATAATGGTCTCAAGATAAAACAACGAATTACTAAAGACTCTTCCAGCTGACCAGAGGATCTTAACGATTTAAGAGGCCTCGCATTGCATCCTAACATGAATTTTCCCACCGAAGGAAGGGTTGAACTACAGCCCTTGCTTGCCCGATTGCCGCCTAACACATGCCCTAAACTCTTCCTGGAGCCAGACCACGAACTTCAATTGTCCATTTCACAGCATTAGCTGACAGGTCGTCTTGGTTCGGCCTACACCAGCTCTTCTTTGTCCGCTGCCGAAGGCTATGTGGAAACGAAGCCGAGAATGTGGTGCGATTTAGATGAAGGGAACAGTAAGAAAGATTGTATGAAACGAAGCTTCTACTGACGCGCCCTTCAGACATGTATTCTGCAGGTGAGGGTTGTGACCCGGGTTGAGAGTGCAGGAGTGCTAGCAGAGCGGCGGGAGGGGAAGGAGAGGCAGGACGAAAATTGGAAAATCGTCCCATCTCGGGACTTGAGTGAGAGAGCCCGCCCCGGAGTCGGGCAGGTCCCCAGAGTGAGAAGTCCCCAGCTTCAAAGTTTTTTGTACTAGCACAGGCAGGTCCCCCACCTCTAACCTTTCGCGATTTGCCTGGTTGCTCTCTGGGAAGGGACTGGTAAATATCGCCCTCTCCCGGATTTCCTGAAACTCTCGCCAGCGCGCTGAACCCGCTCCTTCCCGCCCTTGGCGCCCCGCACTGTGCATCTGCGCTCACTGCACATCACCTTCCCTCCGGACGAGGCCACTAGAGCTCTCGATCCAGGATCTGCGGAGGGAACAGGACCCCTGTCCCTGCCGGACCCTGCAGCTTGGCTGCGGAGAGTGTGCGGCCACAAGCGTAGTTCCTCACTGGAGAGGAGCCGGCTCAACCTCGCGGGTCCCCGCCAGTCCTCTCCTGCCTGGGCTGGCCCCGCGCTAAATCTGCAGCAGGCGGGAAACCCCGCAGGCCTTCCAGGGCTCACGAACTGCCTACTACCACCCTTAAAGAATTCAGACCTGATGGTCCTCTTATGGCGCGTGACCTCCACCCCGAAGCGGAATTGGGGGTCCCCATGGCGGAGCAGGTGCCGTGGACGAATCGGCTCTCAGCTCGCCCCGCGTGTCCTACAGGTCACTGGCCGAGTCCCTACCCCTGGAGCTCCCATGAGGCACCAAGAGCAGCCACGGCCCAACGAAGGGCCTGGATCCTCACGGCTGGAGCAGGCCCCAGTCGAGGGCGCGCAGGTGTCGGGGTCCCCAGCACCCTCCGTGTGCGCAGAGATCCGCGAACGGGGTTCTGAGGCCGTTACGGACCACAGCTCAGAGCGCCCGCGAAGCCCTGCTGCCGGGTCCAGGCCGCGGCCGGGCGGGGCTCACTCGCTCCCCCGCGCTGGCGCGATTGGAGTCTGGCTGGGAAAGGCGGGCGGCCGGCGCTGCGACGGGCTGTGGCGCCACCTCCCGAAGACACCTCGCCGGAAGTGCGGCTCCAGCGTGGCGAGCGCTGAGGTTCCTCGCCTGTAGCGCTAGGGCCGCCGTCCGCGCGACTTCCCAGAATAACGCCCCGAAATGCCTCCAGAAATGCCTGTGTGTGGTAACAGTGACTGAGCCAAAGGTCGGACATAGCCTTCCCCAGGTGCTGAAAGGAGGATCCCAGCCCCCAGGAGCTGCGTACCCACACCGCACCCCGGCCCGTTTGCCCCGCTGCGGAAGCGCACAAGGCGGAGACTCCGGGGATGCGACTGCCTAGTATCACCTACCAAAGGCAGTTTCTTTTTCGGGGATCACAGACCCCCCTTACGTCCCCAAATCTCCAGCAAGAAAGGGGAGAGGACGTGTGTGGCTCCCCTAAAGCAGGCTCCAGGTTGTCCGGGGGGCAAGCCCTCTGAAAGGGACCCTGCTTTGCTGACCCGACTTGAGCAGGGCCAGCCTGGCTGCGCTCAACTCCACTCCGGCCTCAGGGACGAGCCAAGCCGCTCTCTACACCACCACTGGAAAGGAGAAACCCTTTCCTCTTGTAAATGCCAAGGAGGTTAGACCTTTTTGTTGTTGTTGTTGTTGCTTAAGAATAACATTTAAAAAAATATATTAGATTATAGAGGGAACAAAACTTCTCAGAAATATAGAAAGAACAGTTTTCTGAGTTAGGTTTCTGATGCTAATTACAGTCAAGGCTGTTGGGGGAGCCGCATTCAGCAGTTCTTTTCGATGGCTTCATTTTTGACTCAGTTTGAGAACTTGAGCTTCTCTGTCAGTGAGCCCTGTTCACCTGAATAGAAAAATAACAGAGTGCTGGGTAATTTCTGCCTCTGCACTAGTAGCTGCTGTAAGCCCATCTTATTAAGATCAACTAAGGCTGTGAAGGGAGAATCAGTGTGGAACGCAGGAGATGGATCCTCCTGTCCAGTTATCTCTGCAGAACAACTCTGGATTTGTTCTTGCTGTAATTATGCAGCCATTTTAATGCTGAACTGGGGAGGCATGGCTGCCCTTTTAAAGCTCTGCCCAAGGAGCCATAAGTACCTGTTTTCATTAGTCTAGAATAGCACACTCATATATTTAACACATATTTATTGAGAACCTGGTATGTGTCAGGCATGGTGTGAGGTATAATGACAAAGGAGAAAGACATGGCCTCATAGACAAGCTGGGCCATCTGGCTGACAGGATACTCCTCTTATCTCAGGTTCTCTGTAGGGCTGGCTGTTTCTCACTGGCAAAGGCAGATTTTTTTTGCCATGTTCGAGGACACTCAAATGCAAATCCTCTTTGGAAGTCAAGGAGAAGGAGGCCACATGGGAAGTGTTTTTTCCAGCCAAGCTGAACCCTAGCTTCCAGATTCTTGAACCCAGGTGGCTGAGGACCCATCTCTTGTTTGGATGATTCACCTCGTGTGGTATCATCTTCCTTCTTTCCACTTCCTTCCTTCCTTCCTGCCTGCCTGCCTGCCTTCCTTCCTTCTTCCATCTAGCTTCAGGAGGACAATAATATCATCAAAAGGCAGAAATATCCAGTCAGAAAAAGAAGTGTGGCAGGCAGCTGGTACCTCACAATGATAGCCTATTGTAACACAGCAAACCCTGCACGTGCTGGTATCCCTGTCAGCAGGGCAGGGCCACCTGTCTGTTCATCTCTCTGCTTCCTTCTTTCCTAAGGACAATTACCCATTAATGCTGTATACTCTTTAATGTCCTACTGAAGATGTTCAACAGGCCCATTCAAACAAAGTTTGGCAGGAGAATCTCTCTGGACCCCTCAAAACAGAATTCGGAAAACCCCAAAGGCCAGCCAAAAGGAAGTCTTGAATAACAGGCATCAAACTTCATATGGGGAAGGGGGCTGGAGGAGAGTAGTGGGAAGTGTGGGTGAGCCTGGGGAGGGGGTTGTGGTAGATCTGGCTCTGAGCTTTATCCCTTTAACCTTTCTCTGTCACTGATTTCAGAGGCCTTGCTTCCTGCCCTTAAATGGAAGCCACAAACCACAGCTCTTGCAAGGCCAATAAACATAATTTCCTTTTTTGATAAGGCTGCTAGAATGAGGGGATGTTTATATCTTACCTTTGCACATGTTGCAGTTTTGTAAAGCATGTTTACATATATTATTTCATTTATTAATCTTGATAAGCTTTCATTGTCTGCATATGGGGAATCGGAGACACAGAGAAATAAAGTGACTTTTATCTAAACTGTAGGTAGCAGAGTTAGGACAGCTACACACGTGTGTTTCAATAAAGCGTTTGACAAAGTATTTTATGGTAACCTTGGGGCCAGTGTGGCCTGGGTGATATAATGGCTGAGTGGCTCATTCATTTATTCTTTGAAATAAACAGCTTTTCTTTTAAGCACAGCCTATGTGTCAGGAACTGAGCTTAGTAGTGGAGATACAAAGATATATAAGCTATTGTGCTTAACGAGCTCACAGATAAGTGAAAGAAGAGACATGCAAAAATATAATCGCAGTAAGGTAATGATATAATGTAATGGAGTTAGATGGAAAATGCTATACAAGAGAGCATCAAAGGGTGGTCTTAGGCTGATGAGAGCTTGTTGGAATGCTCTTGTATGCAGAAAACACGATATTAGAAAGGATAAGAAATTTGAAGGCTCAGCATGATGGCTCACATCTGTAATCACAGCACTTTGGGAGGCCAAGGTAGGAGGATCATTTGAGCCCAGGAGTTTGAGAACAGCCTGGCCAACACAGAGAGTCTCCTTCTCTACAGATTTTTTTTTTAAAAAAAGATTAGCCAGGCATGGTGGTGCACGCTTGCGATCCCAGCTACTCGGAAGACTGAGGCAGGAGGATTGGGCCCAGGAGGTCAAGGCTGCAGTGAGCCATGATCATACCACTGCACTCCAGCCTGGGCAACAGAATAAGAACCCATCTTAAAAAAAAAAAAAAAAGGAAAAAGAAATTTGAAAAAGGACACAATCATTATATAACAGCTTAATAGGCATGAATAATTGACTATAAAGAACATTAATCAATATATGAGTAAATATAGAATCCTTCACTCAGATACAAAATAATTGAACCAGTGTCTGACCATACTGTCAGAGATGACAGTATAGGTAAACTCAGGGCCTACAGTTGATTCCAAACTCAGCATAAGCCTAGAATGTTAATGTTCTTAGTTTGCGCAAATAGAAGTGGAGTATTCATCATTAGGTTATTTTCTTTACTTGGGTGGGAATGAGTCTTATTTCTGGTCCCCCATACATTGATAAGCTGATGGCATGTATGTGCAAAGGGAAACCAGCACATGGTAAAGGATTCTAAGCTAAGTCATACTATATAGCTTATGGAACTAGACTTGTTGATAGAGACTGGAAGGCTTAGAAAGTATGGCATAGCTGTCCTTAAATATTTCAAGGGCTCTCATGTAGAAAAGATGTTGAACTTCTTCTGTCAGAGGGGCACAGCAAATGTTTTCTCTGGTTTATAATCTGGAGACTGCTGGAGCAAAATCATCCTCTATGAGCTTGACTATCTTTTTGTGCTGGATTCTAAGCTCCATGAATGCAGGGGCCAACAGGTCTGATTCACTCTGAAATGCCTGTGCCTTACTCATAGAAGTTAATTTCTTTTCTTTTCTTTTTTTTTTTTTTGAGACAGAATCCTATTGCCCAGGCTGGAGTACACTGGCACGATCCCACCTCCGCTTCCCAGGTTCAAGAGATTCTTGTGCCTAAGCAACCTGAATAGCTGGGATTACAGGCATGCACCACCATACCCAGCTAGTTTTTGTATTTTTAGTAGAGACAGTATTTCACCATGTTGGCCAGGCTGGTCTCAAACTCCTGGCCTCAAGTGATCCTCCCACCTCAGCCACCCAAAGTGCTAGGATAACAGGCATGAGCAACTGCACCTGATGGAAGTCAGTTAATTTTTTTTTCTTGAGACAGACTCTCACTATATTGCCCAGGCTGGAGTGCAGTAGCATGATCTTGGCTCACTGCAACCTCCGCCTCCCAGGTTAGAGGGATTCTTCTGCCTCAGCTTCCAGGGTAGCTGGAATTACAGGCGTGTGCCACCGCGCCTGGCTAATTTTTGTATTTTTAGCAGAGATGGGGTTTTACCATGTTGGCCAGGCTTCTCTCGAACTCCTGACCTCAGGTGGTCAGCCCAACTCTGCCTCCCAAAGTGCTGAGATTACAGGCACGAGCCACTGCACCTGGTGGAAGTCAACGAAATTTTGATGTAGGAATGAATCAATAAATTATTCCATGTGGTTCCAAAGGAGAGAACCAAGACTCAAGCGTAAAATGTAGAGTTGGATGACAAATGAACCCAACTAATTTGGCTATTAATTAGGTTAATTGGTGTAAGTAAAGATACATTGTTTAGATGTTTAATTTCAACCTTTGCTCACCTGTTCAGCAAGAAACTTCTATTTCCCTTAAACTTTTCTTCCAGAAAGGATGCTAACTAAAGAGGTACATGGGCTTTATCGCCCTTGGGTAGCATTTTAGTTCCGTGAGAACGGCAGGACACAACATACATAGGTTCTTAAGCATGGGAGGATGCTAAGGAGGGGCCAGATCAGATCTTATTTAATTTTAGCTGCAATTTAGATCTGTTAAGTTGTTGTCCCAAGAGTACCTAGGTCATTTAGGGAAAATGTTGTTGGGTTTTGGCTTTGCTTTTTGCTACTTCAGTGGGTTTTTAACTTTTTCAAAGGGACCACCTGCATGTTGTATAAAGAAGACAGCAATGAACCCTAGTTGTGGAACCGTGGAACCTCAGAGTAGCCCTAGGGTTCTGAAGGGCTCAGTCCCTGAAGTGCTGGCCTGTTTTACCCCAGATGTAATGGCCATATGCCCTGACCAAACTGCAGTACAAAATTAAGCTTACATGGAATGACTTCCAGCTCTTATCAGACCCCAAACTCGATTTTTTTTAGTCATCAGTTACACTTTGCAGCTTCTTCCCTATTGTATTCAGAGTTTTGGCAAGTAGCATC